TTTCAAATTGACCTACAGCTCTACTAATTTTGAATACGATATAGAAATAAAAAATTCTGTTGTTGTTTTTTTTTTCTCGAAAATTAATAACATTTGACATTCGATAGAGTCATGATATGTAGTATAATGAATACTTATTTAGAGTAATTAATATTGATGAATGACAAAATTTTAGGTTTATAGAAAATCGCGTGAATTTTCAATAGACTTAAATTGGAATTTTTGAGGTATTTTGTCAGCACAGATAACAGTAGAGGTAATTACCAGAGATCGAAGCCGATTTTTTCGGCTTAACTCAATTTTTGATTTTTTTGATAGAAAAAAGCCATTTGACACCCATTTCAAGTATTTAAATTGAACTTTACATGCTTTACTATGATTCTGTGTAATATTTTGTCAGCATGTAGCTATAGTAAGCTCAGAATTTCAAGTTAAAGAATGTTAAGCCGAAATTTAAGCCGATCGGCTTAAAATCGGCTAAATTGAAATTCTGAGCTCACTATAGCTACATGCTGACAAAATATTACACAGAATCATAGTAAAGCATGTAAAGTTCAATTTAAATACTTGAAATGGGTGTCAAATGGCTTTTTTCTATCAAAAAAATCAAAAATTGAGTTAAGCCGAAAAAATCGGCTTCGATCTCTGGTAATTACTTTACCAAATCAATCAAGTTCCATTCATAATTTTATTCATCAAACTCTTTTAATTAACATTTATTCAAATTCAGCATAGATAGTTCAGTTCTATGAATTTTAATCTTTTAGTAAAATTACCGCTATTAATTTCCATAATCCAGCAACACTTCTTTTCAACAGCACAAAATTTAATCTCAACCAAAACTAATTTGAACATCGCGGATTTCCATTCTCAAGCTCAATATGAATTTTTTATTAAACTTCTAAATATTTCAATTCATCTTTGCTTAGTTATTGCCACGAATAATTCATTTTATTCAATAAAATCTCCATAAAAATTTCTGCCATTCTTTCCATCCAGCCATATTTAATATTTCACACAATTATTATATCTGAAAGAATAAATTTTGCTCGTTTGTAGAATTTCACAAAAATAACACGATTTTTGAATTGAAATGTGAGAAAAGTTTTTTCATTATTAAACAGTGCAAGTTGAGAATTTTATGGTGCTGGCTGCGCATAATTAGGTCAAGATCTGAATTATTGGAGTTTTAACAGTTATGTCGTGCAGGGGAGGGGGGAGGGAGGGGGGGGGGGGGGGGTCAGCAAGAGAAAAACAATAGAAATTCTTGGAAATCCATTGTTTTTTTTGTTGAAAAATGACCTTAAATTTCGAATGTCATAATTGAACGATTCCTCATAAGGAATAGCCTCAAAAGTTCAAGGTTAAGCTTAAAAATATGTATTAAAGCAGCCTTGTCGTAACAAAGGATCAAATTCTGACTGAATCTCTTAAAGTATCAGTTTTTACTGAACGTACGGAACCGAAATGAGCATGCTCACTAAAATCAGGCTCAGTGAGGACATGCTGCTTTGGAAGTTTTGATTTGATTTTTCAAAAATCATCTTAATTCAGCTTAAGGACTAAGCATAAATATCATCAAATAACAAAATTAAGAATCTCGAAAAACATAATTAAGAAAACCAAAAACTTTCTAGACATATTGAATCCACATCAACCACATAATTCTCTTCAAACTTTAATACTAGCGATCAGGGATGGAGTTAGGAAGTTACGACCAGTTAATTTTTTCAATTTTCTAAGGTTTTTTTGGAACAAATTCTATTCAAAATTAACCCCCCCCCCCCCCCCCCCCCCTCTGTCTCCTCTCTCGTCAAAGAAAATTTTATAGTTTCATCTCTGTCCTAAGGACAACAAAATGTACTGAACGTATGAAAAATTCCTACTGAATTGATGCTGAAAATTTGTAGCATAAAAGAGCAAATATGTATTAATGGATAAAGTTGAGATACATTAAATGCCATTATAAATAACTATATACTGCCATGCCATAATCTCTTCCCGTAAAACAGAGAGAGTGAGAAAAAATAAATAAAAATTAAAATGAAAAATTTGCGCTAAAAATCCCATTATCAGCTCACGGAATTTTGATAAATCACTTTTTTTGTTGATGGGCTGAGATGTTTATATGTCCATTGTTGAGACATTGTGCATGTGAAAAGCAAAAGGCGAGAGAGAAAATATAAACATCTAAAAACGTGACAGTCAAAGCTCATTTTATTGTAAGAAGATTATGAGATGATGGAATGAGTGTGAGAGTAAAAAGGCAGCAGAACGAATATAAAAGTGACTAAGCTGTCAAAAATATGAAATTAATGCGCTAATTGATGCTGTTTGTAGTTTCATTGTGTAAACTTTTATTTCTTTGCTTTGTGCAGACTCACTCTGTGGAACTGCAAATATTATTGTTTGAAATATTCAATGAATTTTTTCTTTAAGTCTGCTGTGGATTGTTAGGAGGTCTTTAGCTTAATATGAAAACTTTTTGAGGGTGGGGTCTAAGATTTTGTGGCTGCATGAACAAAACAAAGTCGAAAATTTGGGATATAAGCTTTTAAGGCCCTTAGAGGTGATTCAGTAACAAATCTGTAAAATCTCAGTGTCAAGGATTGAAATGATTAAAACCTTCACTAAATTACATTAAAATGATATTAATAGCAGCCATCAAGTCAACTAAAATCTCAATTTCCCATCAAAAAATCTCTCATAATGAAAACCATGAAAAATTTAGTTCAGTTACTTCATCATCATCACAATGATTGTTTAATAATTCTTCTTTCTTTCGTCTGCGGCTCAAATGTTTCCTTCTTATTGTTCATCATTTCACTCTTCACAACTAGCAGCACAGAAACAATAAAAAAATCAAAATAGTATTTTGGCTACGATTACTAAATGCCCCGCCACACGCACATACATAATGAGAAGCATCAAGAGCAACATGAGCGTAGAGGAAATTGAAGATGTTTTTTAACGGGACAAATGAATGTAAATAAAGTCGAGATGATGGGAAGTTTAAGAGAGTTCTGCTTAAAACTAGTTTTTTTATATTCTTTCATTTCTTTAAGTATTTTCGCTTTTTTTTATTCTTCTAATATCGTTGCTGCTGCCGATGATTATCATTCGACCTTTCTTCTGTTCATGTGTATACATAAATGAACTCTTACTGTTTATTCTCTTTCTTCATATTTTATTGTGTGTTTTGATATTTTCTAAATTGTTGTGGATTCTAAAATATGCAATTGGAATGTGAGAATGGGAAGAAATTAAAAGAAGTTTAAGATTATCTAGTCGAGAAACATTAGTTCACACTTTGTCATTAGAACATCAAGAAGGTATTCGCTTATTAAGTAGGGGGTGGGGCGGAAGGTCTGAGATTTTATGACATACCATGTTTTGGACATCATAAGTGAACGACTCCCAATCATTTTACTATAAATTAAAATATGTTCTCATAAGTTCATCCAATCTAAACACAATTTACATGTTTAAATGCATCAACAGTCCAGTTTTTAATCTCAAAATTCTACCTTTATTCCCAGGATATTGCATATCCGTTCTAAACATCTGCATATTCTCATTCATTAATTTCTGTGGTTCTATTGAGGTCATCATTTAATAAAACTTCATACACATTATTAGCACAAAATTTATTAAGAACTTCTCTTCATTTTGTTTCCCCCTTTAATTTACATCAATTCAAAAATTCATCGAAAGCAACTTATGTCCTATATAATCCAACTGCTTGATCATCAAAAGAAAAAAAAATATCTATTAAGTTTCTCTATTTCCAACAAAGTGCATTGTATACCTTTAAATCCATCTTGTATCTTGTTTTTATCTCTCTTAGCCTGTTATATCTGTATCTACAAAATGCATACACTCAATCCATAATAAAAGTAGCTGTTTCTTTCCTCTCCCACTTTTTTTTTTAATAGCTTATCTCTAATTCTATTTTCTCACCTATCATTTTAAATTCCTTCATCACATCCATGATGCATTTACATATGTTCGTATCTTCCTCATATTCATTTCATTATTTTTATTGGATTTGTGGTATTGGAATATAAGAATATCTGAATTTATAAGTTTATGCTCATTATGTTAACATAAAAAGCCATTTAACGGATAATGTCGTCGGATTTTCTTGAATGAACATAAATTGTAACTTAAATGTATATTTTATTTCTTTCAATAATTAAATCAATGACTAAACTTCATTATATGGACGAGATTGAATGATTTGAATATTTTTGTGGGTTCGCGTAGGAATCAAAATATGTATTTATGGCTGTTAAGGTCAAGTACGGAGAGATTTTCAAGGCGCATTATTGAATTTATTGACAGTTTGTTAATTGGTTAAAGCTTAGTTTTGGACCTAGGCAAAGATCTAATGTCTGTTGGGGTCTGATTAGGTCCTATGAGGTATAAGAAGGTCTTCAAAAGTCTTCAAGACTTTGAGAATAAAGAAATGAAGAAATTTATAATTAAGTCATAAATAAAAGGCTTAAATCTACATCGTCTAAGCCTAAACTAGAAGTTTAATCCAAAAGACAAACTGAACAATACGTGAATTCAAAATTCTAACAACGAAACGCTCCGAGTATCGATTTCTTTTGTTTCATTCACATTTCGAGTATGGGAGGCATAAATTTTATAGAATGAGAATTTCTCTGCTGTCAACTGTCGCTATGCTATGTTATTCCTTACAATTTTTCATTTCTCCTAATTTTTCCGTGACATTTCATAATTTTTTTTCTTCTTCTTTTCTTTCTAGGCAAAGCACAAGTAAAACAAGAAAATACAAAGTAAATAAAAGGAAATAAGGACGACAACAATAGGAAAAGGAGCATTAAAAGGAACAAAGAAAAAAAGAAGTTGAGAAGAAGTTAGCGACAAAAGTCACTAGAATAAAAAAAAAGATTTTTTAAAATAAAACAATCAAAAAGAAGCAAAAATTTGAAGATGCGTTAGCTTAGTGGAGCTATGGGATCATATGAGGCATGGGCGTGTGTAACCCTGGGGATTTCCGGTGGTGTCCTGAAAAGACATTAATCGGGTCGCAATCGACCACATCCATCCTTTTCAATGCATACAATAAATTATTTATATTACTTCTCATTCTCCTAAATACGAGTGGTAATTCCATTCAACCAGGTGCGTACATAATGTTTTGTGGATGCTTATGTTGTTATTTGACTTTCTTCTTATCCATCTTAAGATTTCAAAATTTTTCTCAATTGAATATCATGAACACCGATCTTGCTGATTCTGCTGCATAATTTAACTCGTTAAAAGGGATTGTTTGCTTATGACGTACCTCGATCAATTAGTTAAACAGACCCAGTCCCCAAACAAAAAATATTTGCATTTAATTGACCCCTCCACCCAAAATTGATAGACGTCATATTTAAATGAGCCCAAAATCCTTGAGAAAAAAAATAATTTTTTTCAAAAAGCAAATTTACTTATTCCTTAAGCAAAGTCTGTCGAGTATATTTATTTTTTTGGAAGGAATCTTCTTCCTCTTGGTAAGCAGATGTACAAATTCAAACATACGACATTCACTACGTTTTACAACCTTTTTTTTTTTATTCATACTTTGTATATTTTTCACCTTCCTCGTCCTTTTTTTAAGCTTGTTGTGTGCTCTCATGTCCTGTGTACAAAAAGAAGTTCCTTTTCTTCTTCTGACTCAATGACACACATATAATTTTATTTGATTTTCAATCACCACGAGCATGTTCAATACATTTTTCAGGTAAAGGCTACACAACAAAAACAGCAACGGTATGGAAAATAAAAAAAAAAGAAAATTTGTTGACGTTGCTGTTATTTCCACGGAACCCTTTTTGTATCTTCCCAAGGGGATTGACACTTTATGAGTTCATGAAAATTTGGACTGATTGATTTTTTTTTATTGGATGCAAAATCAGCGATTTAGAAAGTTTTATTGCAAATGGATTTTTAATTTTTAAGATCTAAAACTTGATGTTCAGCTTAGTTCCAATAAGATTATTTTTATTGATCACTAGTGCCATAATTAAATAATTTGCTTCCGCATTAATCTTTCAAAATTGGCAATAAAATTTTGTCAAAAATAGAAATAACGTCAATAAGCTTCTTAAAGGATTAATGGTTATAATACCAGACGTAGACATATTGTTGTTTTGTGTATTTACATCAACTTTTGTTTACTCGCCCACTCACATATAACCCCACTGAATTGAGATCTTTTTTCTTGTTCCGTTGGAATCAATTAACTTTTTTAAGCTTGCCTGAGAAGATTACAGTTTTCTTAATGGACATACATTCATACACAAGAAGAAGCTCTTACATTTTTCTTAAAGTCCTAAAATAGCTACATAAAAAAATCAATAATTCCATCCTAAAATTCACAAGACCAGCAAAGTAATTTACCCAAAAGTCAACATTATTAGACAAACAACCCCAGCTGAAACTGAACATGATTAAATTATTATGTTTAATCTCTCTCTCTGTTCTCAACAAAATTTTATTGAATGAAGGCACATTCCAAAACTTTTTTTTAGTGATCATCCCCTTTTTTTCTATCTCCAATGTGTACCTTGCATCACTTTCCACTTCCCTTTTCTGTAACTTTTTATAGCTTTTTATCCGACATAAATGTTGAAAGTACACAAAACGATGAAAATTTAATGTCATGTTAAATTTTTTTTTCTTCTGTGTGTGTTTACCTGACGGTTCCTCTTGTAAAACTTAACGTGTTTCTCTAGAGTCTAAATTTTTACTTGTGTACAAGATGAATATAAATATATATAAATATTACTATATTCAACCCACAAAAAATAAAATGCCTATCCTACCTTAACATACCTTTTTATCTAAAACACAACTTTCTTTCATCTTTCTCACTGTCTCTGGATGTGGCTGTGACTATGTTTAAAAATAACACGAAGAGTCTTAATGTTCTTTAAGTAAACGATTGTTGTTATCATTGCATAATGTGGCTGACGAGAAATAATGAGGATAAAGTTGAAGAATATGGACGCTTTTTTTTGATGGACGAATAATTTTATCCAGCATAGAAATGGCGCCACTTTAAAGTGCTTTAAAAAATCATTTTTCCTTTAAAGTCAGCAAATACATTAAATTTATGTGGAAGGAAAATAGAAATAAATTTTTATTACCGAGCATTTGCATCCACAAAACCCACAGACATGACAAGATTTTTATTTTATCATTCACAATAATTTTTTTTATATTCTCTCCTTATCCAGGTCAAGATGCAACACACATCACAGCAATTCTTGGCGAGAGTGTCATCTTCAATTGTCACGTCGAATTTCCCGGCGATCATCCAGTTCCCTATGTCTTACAATGGGAGAAGAAGGTGAGCGAAACGGTATGCTAATAAATTTCTTTCTCCGTTTCTCTTAACCATATTTTTTTCTGTATTCTTCTTTTACGGCATAAATATATATATTCTAAGAAAATAAAAATATTCACAAAAAAAAATCAGACCTTCTATCCACCATAACCTAAAAAAAATATAATATAAAGAATAAAATAAGAGATATAAAAAAATATTCTCATATACCGAACAAAAAAAAATCATTTAAAAAATAAGAAACATATAAAATATTTAAGTATATGACACATGAACGTAAGATACTTTTTATGAATGTCGTTACTTGTTACTTTTTTTCCTTTAATAATTTTTTTACTTGTATTCTTCCTTCTTATACTTATTATAATACGTTTATACATTTCTTTACATAAAAATTTATACAATAATGTATCTATATATAGTCTTGATATTGTGCATTTATGGATGTTATATTATTATTATTATTATTATTGCTATTGCTTGATTCAGGGGCGTAGCCAGGAATTTCTCTCTCGCTCGAATGGGTGTTAGGACCCAAAATAATTCCTGTAAATGCCCCTGGTTTGACTCTTGTAGCGCATCTTCCTCAAAAACAGTGAAATATTAAGGTGACTTAAGCATAATGCTGTATTTTTGTGCAGTCTTGCTTTTATAGTTCCCAAATAGCTTATTTGTCCATCTGTAAGCAATTTTGAGCCTGATGAAGGAGCCAGGATTATTTGATTCTCTGTTTATGTCACTTATAAATTGAAAATGCGCTACCAAAAGTCATTTTACTAATTTTTCATTACTTCTTCATTTAATGCTTTTTATTTAAATATTCCCATGCTTATTTCTATAGAGGAAAATTTATTTATGCATGGCATATAATATCATGAGAAATATTTCATCTTACATTCATTTCATTTCAATTTTTCTCGGCCTACCCTCACCTGTGTGTGATTCCGTAAATGTCTATGTGAATTTTTCATTCATTTGTATCCATCTATATGCTCTCCTTACACACATGAGAGAAATTTTTATATTTTTTTTGCCTAGTCTTCTTTAATTTATGTAATTTTGCATTTACGAATGTATGTTCGTTTACATTACTTTAAATAGGATAAAAGGCAAGAAGTGAAATTGAATTTTTGTTTAGAGTCATTTTGATTAGGGATCATTCATAAATGATGTTCATCAATATAATCATGATTTTTAGAACATCCTCATCCATCATTCAAACATCTTTGCTGTGGATTAAAGAGTCTCCATCATTTACGAATAGCCCATTACATGAAAATCATTTTAAATTCTATTTTTATGCTTATGAATTATTTTGTCGCAAATAATTTGAATGTCTATTTCAATTCAGTCAGTATCACTTACAAAATTACCTAAATCCGAAATGACATATTGACACCAGACGCGCATTTGCCATGAGAGGATAAAGACAAGCAATTTTCATTTTATTCAATCAAATTTATCTCTATTTACTGTTCAGATTTTCAGATTTTTTCTTATCAAAGCCAATGAAAATCACTCGTCAAATTTAAGCGCATTTAAATTATGAATTATCATTACTTAACCTGACTTTAATTTAATCTTCTTTCTGTCTCCTTCCTTCTGTCTTCTCCAATGTTCAATGTTTTAAATAAAAGCCCATGATTCTCATTCGAACATGGAAATCATTAGAACGTGAATTATAATAGAAGATGAAGAAGGAGGACTTTAAAGCTCCAATTTGTGTACAGTTGAGAATTTCCATAAGATGTTTTTACTAATGCAGTCAGTCCCTTGAGCATTTTCTAGACAAATTTTCTTTCGAGCATATTTTACTGAGGTAATATGTCATCAAAGTGGGGGTTGAGCTAGGAGATCAACTTACTCTCTTGACGGGGAGTTAGAAATTTTGTAATAAAAATCACACAAAAATTCCTGACTGCACCTCTGCAGCACAATAAGCTGATTTATTTAATTTGTTGCATATTTTCTAGAAAAATTCATTCACAAGGGTAAGCTCCTTAAAATACTTTAATGAATGGTTCAATGAACATTCTGAATAAGTAATTCTAAAGATTTTCAATGCTTTTATTTTTAAAGTATCAAAAATTTTCCGTGTTGCTTTAAAGACACACGAGGTAGAAATTTAATTGAATTCAGGAGAAGAGAAATGGAAACGTGCAGAATTAAATTACATGCTGTACCACATTATGTAACCTCTATGACATGTGGAAAGGTTAAAGTTTTTGTTTTGATGTTTAAATAATTAAATTATGAGTGAGAATTGATTAAAATTTAGTTTAATAGTTTTCAATTAGGAACTTTTTGATCTGAAGATGCCTGAAAATGTACATCAAGGATGTGCTATACGTGTGACTGGAAAAGAGCAGAAAACCCATCCCCTGCTCTACCTGAATTAGAACTTTGAGTAATTTAGATAAATTTTCTATCAAGTCAATCAGAAGATTGCCAATCAACATTAAGGAACTAAAAAACCATTTCAAATCCCTTAAAAGCCTCAGCAATTTAAGCCATAGATTCCAATTCAATCAAGATAGATAATTTTACATCCATCATGAAAATGAGAAAAATGAAAAATCTTCCAGCATAGTCAGCATAAAAAAAATGTGGTTCTCTCTACACATTCCTCTAAAGTCAATAAGTCAAAAGCTTTTCCTTTTTAACCTTAATTTAAAATTCATTAAAGTGAGTGAAAGACTGACTAAAAAAATCTTCAATTCCTTTAGAACAGGCAGAAAATGTTCCTATAGACTTTACAATAGCGTTGAGAGAGTGAACAAGAGCGATGAGGAAAAATGGCTTGTGAATGTTTCGGGCATAAATTTCTCGTTTTTTCTCTCACTTTACTGCCCCCTCACCACTTCACCGTCCTCTTCTGCTGTGTTTATATTATTTTGGCATCTCGTGTTCGTCATTTTGAGGAAGCTTTTCTCATTTTTTTTTGTAAGAGCTGGAAATGTTGAGGCTCATTTTGATCCCGAGTTAATAAGTTTTGGGATGCAAATTACTTTAACTTTTGTGGAAGTTTCTGGAAAGTCATTAGAAGTTTTAAATAGCTTCTCAGGAATTCAAAAGTATGGACACTAGCTTTAGAGACACTAAAAAAATATTCGTCCTTAATCTGCTCAGTCCTAATAACTCCCTCACTTAATCATTGTGATATTTTTATACTGCATAAGAGGAAGCTTTGTCAGGGGTGAATATAAATAAAGAAAGCTCGCTATTGTCGCTCTTTTAACAAATAACAATAGAAATTTTCTTTCTGTTCCATACAGTCTCATACCTTTTATTTCATGTCCATACCTTTCTTCTCTTTCTATCTCTCTCACCCATCCGCATTATACAATAAATAAGTACGCATGAGATGTAATATAATAGCGGCAGTAACAGCGGTAGCATAAGGCTAACATTTTTCGGATACATGAATGTTTACTTGCGCACACACACACATACCTATACATGTACAACACACAATGAGCAATGAAAAATATTCACCCATCAAGTCAAATGAAGCAAGGATCAAGAAGATTGTTGTGACTATATAGACTTTTATTTTTGTGTGTTGTGTATAATTTACTAAAATTGTTTCTTTTGTTTTTGCTGATTTTTAATGCTGAGGTTGAGTTCTGATTTTGATGATGCGAAAGAAATCCAGGGGGTTAAAGGAAATGATGTGAAATGGAATTGAATAGTTTTGTTTTCAAATGCCATAGATTATGGAATTCTGTAGAGTTATTTTATAGGGGCTGAGCTTTAAAACCCTCAAAAATTGCTAGCTCCTCTCCTGTCAAGTTTTTCAGTTCCATTTCGATTTCAAAAAAGCAATCGCCATTTTCATAACGCTTTTATCACCATAAATATAATTTATAATTTCTTTGCCGTCACATTTTGTCCCGATGATATTCTAGTCTATAACCATAACAATATGTAGGAGCGTTAAGCACATCCACATACACATACACATAAGGTGTGGAAGAGAATGTAAAAACAATCCCAAATGTGCAGTGAAAAAGTCGTTGTCGTGTGTTTATTTAAACATTATTATACTTTTTCATGCTTTATATTTTTACTGTTACTATGACAGGCAGTTGGTGTTGTTGTTGTATTAAAATTATTCTTATAAAGATGATAAAGCCATATCTGTAGCTATATAAGGAAAAGAAAAATTGTCTCTATAATCCATGATAACCCATCTCATGGGATACACTAGCACAACAGCAATGTCAGAAAATTTTCGACTTTTCCGTTCCTTAAAAAAAAGCTAGTGAAATTGAAACTACTTAATGCTACTTTCATAGGATCTTTCATCTACATTATGGCATTATATTGCCTTTTTCCTTCCTCCACCGTTCACATTTCTTTTTTCGCCTCAATGCCTTCCTCCCACCAAAAAAATGAATTTTATCAGCATATCCTACAATATTATTATAACACAGTTTCTGATACATATTCAGCATACATTTTCTGCCTTCACTTTCATTAATATTTGATTTTTATCTCTGCTGCTTCCAATGCTGGTGTAAATTTCTTTTTTTTTCATGTTTCCGAAACGGAATTATTTTTTTTCTCATCCACGGATTTTAGTGGATTTAAAAATGGGCACTAAAAAGCCTCCTTTTTAATAATTTTCTTCATGCGGATTTGAATATCCACATCCACATCCACAGCAATAATTATGAGAGTGAACAGAATGAGAACTTATTGATTTTTTTTTCGTTCACACAAAACCTGTCCACTGGATGTCCATTTCACACAAATTTAAAGCTTCCGAGATTAACTTGGCAGAAAAAAGTTTTACTAAATTGAATCCAGTAAGGATAAAAGTATTCTTTCCTCGATCATTTTGTCATCGCTAAATTGATTTTAACTGAAAATTCAATTTTTTTTTAACCTGAACGGATTCTACAATGCCTCAATCCTCTTCCGTCAACGATTCTTATTCTATTTTAAAAAGCGAGCAGTTTTTTTTTTGTAAGCATTGAAAATTACATACCAAGGGAGCTCTTTTACCCTCTTCTCATTCTTGAACATGGTAGAGACTTGTAAAAGTTTTCTGTTGCTACATTTTATGCTGTTACTTTCATCGAGAAATGAAATTTTAATAAGATTATCTGGTCATTTCTTTCTTGCTTGATTTCTTTTTCACTTCTATTAGAGTTTAAGTTGTTTTAGAGATTTCTTCTTAATCTTCTTTCGAACCGAGCTGTGCAAATCAACAGGATCCTTCGTTTAGCTTTTACATACCTGCTTATAGTAAGCTATGCAGAGGGTCTTATTAATTAGCTTCAAACGAATTAGGTTTGAACTAGAGACATGTGTAGCGGAGCTTTTGTCATTTGTGTTTCTCGGTTTAGAAGTCAAAGCTAGGAGTCGTCAATTTCTTTCTCTGTTAAGTAACAATCAGTTATTTTTGAAGTAATATAGCAAAGTCATGAAAGCTTTAGAAATAATGAAAAATTTCAAATGAATTTGACGATAAGTACAAGGCGTGTGCTAGCATCTATAAAGGCATCTCACATATCCTTCAATATTAAATCATTCTTTCCAAAAATTCTTACCCTTTTTTTCTGCTGCCTGCTGTACAGCAATTTCAGGAATTTAATTATGATTTTAATATTACTGAAATGTAGTCGTGCTTGATATTGGGAAATATTCTCGAAAAGCGATATTGTATCTATTTCGAAACAATTCAGACTTGACCCTTAAAAATTGTGCATAAGCCAAATCTCGATTGTCTCAAGATAAAAATAATAATCCTCAAAAGTCGTGCCAATTAGTCATGAAAAAGAAGCACTTCATTATGAATGTTAGCATAGGTAATGTCTGGAATGACTTCAAAGAATGAAAAACAAGGAGCTATTTGTAATAATTAAGAAGCAATTGAGAGTCAACAGAAAAATAAATTAATTAATATTTTTTTCATTAAATTTATAGCCTTATTTTTAATCACAGTTTCATTCATCTCAATTTTCAACGTCAGTTGCTCTTCATCCTCACCTTTCCTTCTTTTCATCGCCAACAGCAACTGAATAAAAAAACATTAAATTTTAATTTTTCATTTTGATATTTTTCAATGGGAATTTTGTTTTGTACTTTTTTGAGGGGAGCTTGTAGCTCAATGGGGGTGGCATAAGTTGATGATTTGTCTGAAATGGGCGATTTTGTAAAATTAAAATGATTCTAATGGAAAAAGTTTGTGGATACTTTTTAATGGAGTTTGAAGTCAACTAGGTAGAGTTGACTCAAAAACGAATCGTTCATGAGCCATATAAACTCAAATGTAGTCAATTCAACCTAGTTTACTAGTTTTTGATTTGACTGAACCAAGTTGATTAGTGTTTGAGACGACTGAACTTAGTTAACTAGGTTATGTGCCAAAGCAACCTATTCGACTAGTTTTTGAGTTAACTGGACCTATTTGACTAATTTTTGAGTCAGTCCCGCTTAATCAACTTGAAACTCTGCTATTTTGGTATCATTTAAGTTTCTTGCCACAATTTTAATAGCTCATCTGAATGCGCTCTGCTCTGCTGCATTAAAAACCAATCATGCTTTTATGCTTTTATTTCTATAAACAACTCTCAACACATACCCACATCCACATGCTCAAAAATCACCTCCTCTCGAAATTAAATTTGAAATTTCATTTTTAATAATAATTTTTTGTGTTCTTCGCTCGTCTGCTACACTGAGCACAATGATGTAAATAACATATATAATCATTTTTATTCTACTATTCTTCTTTTTTTGATGCTATTGATGTTGCTCATGCTGCTTTTTTCTATTAAGCAAAATTAAATTTATTTATTGTTGTGCTTGATGATGATGATTCTTTTTTATCTCTGTTGGTTTGTTCCAGTTTTTGAGTTGTGGTGAATAATTTTTTTGGTGCATTTAATTTGGATTAAAATATTTTTATTCTAAAAATGAATGCCAAAAGTGCACCAGGAATTTTTCATCATTTACCAATTTGCCTCAATTTACATTTTAATTGTTGTTGCATTCACAAACAGAATTAAATCTTCTTACAAATTTTTTTTATATGTGTTGTATGTTTGTTTATGAGATGATGCAGAAAATTATTTTTTTTTGTGAAGCTGCTGAAAGCCAAAATAGAAAAACAAGCGAGAAAATTTTGTTTTAATTAAAACTTATTATATTACTATAGCGTACTTTTCTGTGTGTATTAAAAAAAAATGAACGAAATTAAACCTCAGTGCATATATACATTAAATATTTATTATCTATCTCTATAATTATGACTTTATACATATGAAAACGTACAATGAGTCATGTATATAGCATATATTACTATTATATAATAAACAAAAATTTATATGAATAGGATGTTCAACTGTGTAACTCAATAGTGGTGTAGTAAAGACGGGGTAACATAGAGTGTCTTAAGAAATCAAAATTCATTACGAACAGGAGTTTAAAATGTTTCTAGAGGCACCAAATTCTCTACAAGGGGGTGGAAAACTTTAGTTTAATCTTATCCTTGCTGCAAGAAACATTTTTGTAAAGAAAGTTTTTCCTAAAATTTCCCCACCCCCTTACTTCTCTCCGACTCTTAATACACCACTATAATTCAATGAAGCAGTTTTATATGAAGGAACAAAGCATAAAGATTGCAACATTAATTAGCAACCAGTTTGATAATCTTTGAGGCTGAAAATCTCAGAGGATTCTCCCCAATCAAACTTTTCTTTCCTTTAATAATTCAATTATCTGCTATAGTAGATAAAAAAGGGGAAGAATAATATAATCAAAAATTCCAACTGATTAGAACTCAATTAGTCAGCAACTGTACATATTATGTTACATGTTCGATAATTACTTCATAAGACTGACCAAAAAACCATCTCAGTTGAGCACCCTAATTATTACATAAATGTGTTGTGTTTTCCGGTAGAAAAATGAGCTTTTTATTATCAATATATACATTATGAATATAACTTCTCTTACTCAAATTGCAATCATATTCACACAAAATTTTCAATTTTTGTGTTATTAATTATTATTTTATTTATTCATCTCCCTCAACACCTACAACAATCGCTAACAACAATGAAAATAAAATTCATTCGCTGTGTGGGTGAAAAATTTTGGCAATCATCATCACACCATTATGATATGAAAAATTATTCCCCGTACTCAATGAAATGTGGCTCTATATAATAATTGATACGACTCCAGGGACAAGAGACACCAATCTACATTTGGTATGAAAGTTATCCAACGCACAGTGGCGAGGGCTATGAGGGACGTGTTTCACGTGTCTCTCCCGACTCACCATTTGGAGCGGCATCGCTTAATTTAACAAATATTAAGGAATCAGATCAGGGATGGTATGAATGTAAAGTTGTATTCCTCAATCGCTCACCAAATCATCATAAAAATGGCACATGGTTTCATCTCGATGTACATGCGCCACCTAGGTTTAGTGTTACGCCCGAGGACATAATCTATGTTAATTTAGGTAAATTACAATGATCCTTTTAGCCTCGGTATGCTGTTGATACTACTGCTGTTGTTGTTATGTAATTAAGGTATTTTCATTTTTTTTAAAAGCGAGGATAATATTCTCTGTTAAGGCATTGAACAGATGCGCATTTCAAAAGTGCTGCTAGGGATTTTGTTACCGCCATACAAAAAAAAATTTCATAATCATCAAAAGTCTTTTATGGAGAAAAAAAAAATCAATAAACCGACAAAATGGAGCAAAACAACAAATTCATATCCACAAAAGCTTGGCTTTTTAAAATGAAAATACCTCGAAGTCGCTTATGGATCTATAAATATAAATTCCCATCTTACATAATTTTTCTCTTAGGCAAAAAACCGACCTCATCAACCTTTTTTTTTATTCATTTAAAAAAATGTATATACATAGGCATCTTCATCAATAACAGTAGTAGTAGCGACATAGCGCATATCGAACGGAAATATATAATCAATAATTTTTTTTTTGTATCGTGCTAATGAGAAAAATTTTAATTAACAGGTGATTCAATTATATTAAACTGCCAAGCGGATGGCACACCAACGCCAGAAATATTGTGGTATAAAGATGCAAATCCTGTTGAGCCATCTTCGACAGTCGGCATATTCAATGATGGCACAGAGTTACGAATTTCAACAATACGTCATGATGATATTGGCGATTATACGTGCATAGCGCGAAATGGAGAGGGACAAGTGTCGCATACGGCACGCGTTATTATTGCCGGTGGTGCTGTAATTATGGTGAGTTTTTGAAAATTTTATTATCATTATTATGTTTTGGAATGACTAAAAACAGAATGGAGGGGATAATGTGAAAATTATGACTAAATTTAAGCTTAATTCTAATTTACAAAAAAAAATATGTTAAAGTCGAAAATTGGGTACCTAAATAAATCTAAATAATAATAAGGCAAACCAGAAAGTTCTACCTCAATTTAACACCATATTTTAAATAATAGAAACAGCAATATTGCTGCGGTATAGAATGAGGATATTTGCATTTATTAATTATTATACGATACTTTTTTTCTACCTTCGTGAAATATAGTAATTATACAAATGACGGTACCTTCGATTATCATCACAGTCAGACTCTGTTGAAACAAGAACCTCCGACCCTTAACAAAAATATCCATTAAGTTACTCATCTCCTTACATTTTGAGAGCGAATGAAAAAGATGGCAAAAAAATGAGCTTTTGAAAAATTATGAAAAATTCTTCATCACATCCCGTTCCATTTCATTAGTGCCACACGCATTCCACAAGAACATTTTTTTTGTATTAAATGGTGAAAGAAGACGTAGATGTATTAATTAGAAAGCCTAATCAACGTCACAACGTGTATACATAGAGTGTCGTGAAAAGAGAGAGAAGTGAAAGGCATTAGTAACCTCACAATTTGTTGTGTGCTGGATACGATACACATGCGATGAACAAGGGGGTGAATAAGCTACAAACAGCAATAATAAGAAGAAGAATAATAAAAAAATTTCAAACCATTATCCCTTTTTTAACGCTTTCATATTCGCGAGGCTTTGACTTCTTCTTACTGACTTTGTGGCAAAAGAGGAATAAGAATAAGAAGTCTTGTTGCCGCGAATGAAAGATGAAGATGTGAATGAAGAAGATGAAAAGAAAAATTTCAGTCATTTAACTTCTTAAAAAGTGACATGTTTTTGTTGTTCTTGGCATGAGTAAAGGCAGAGAAAATGGAAAGAAAAATTGTTGTTGCTCAAGATTTTCATCAATGTCGATAACTTATAAATACATTCGACCTCATTATGTGGGGGGTGTTGACGTGTGATAAGTCCAAACAAAATAACATGAAAGGTGTCCAAATTTTCAAGAACCGTCATTTATGAACGACGCCAAATATGATGTCAATATTTATGCCACAGGCATCAATTAGCAAAATTTTAATTAAAATATTTATAGCAAAATTTCATCACTGAGCTAATTAATGATTGAGTCTATAAAAGAATTAAGGTTTCGGAATTTAAAAAGTAATTTTCCAACGGATTAACTTTCTCATAGCAAGAAGACTCAAGAAGTAAATAATTTAGATAGGTTTCCAATTAAAGAAAAATTAATCTTATCGAAAGGATAAGATAATTAAGATAGCACGCAATTTTTTCTAATTAGAAAAAATGCTCTTAAAAAAATTTCAATCACGATGAAAATTCTTAGAAAGTCTTTAATAGAATCAGAATGGGAAGGAAGTTACTCATCGGGAAAAGGAAGTAATTGGAGAAAGTTTGAAGCGTAAAAAAGCATCAAAAGTTTTTGTTTCCCAAAAATGACAATCAATTTTTTTTTTATAGATGAAAGGATTCTTTGAAATTACTTTATATATAGCACAGCAGGGATGAATTTGAAGGGAAGAAGAGGTAAAAACCTTTCTCGTTGAAGTTTTCGAGTTCCTTTGCTTAAATTCTTTTATGAAAAAATTAAATAAACCTAAATCAGCTTGTTCTAAACCTCAAAACAATCCTTACTAGGTCTTCAACATGAAATAAAGTAGTTGAGGCTCCTTGATGGACTTGCTTGGTTCCTATTTGATAAATAAATTTTAATCTCTCTTCCAATTTTTCCATTCATCCAAATAATCTTCAGACCCCCTTCCCTATACCTTTAAAAAGTTTCTAGACTTTCTCGGTAATACAGCTATTAAGTACGCTTAGATAACCATCACAGCAACAGAAATTCAATCCAATTTGTTAGCTAGAAACCAAATATATGAATATATTAAGGAATCCAAAAATGAAAATTCTTTCGGAATTTAAAGTGAGATGAGTCTTTGATGCTGCAAATGGAATTATAGGAAATACTTTGATTCATGTTCTCAGAAAATATTTATCCAATTTAAATATGATCTGGTGCAAAAATTTTCTCACATCTTCTACTTTTGTTTTTCTCGGAAGTTGAACATTCATAAGCTTGCCTTAAAATCAGTGCCGGAGATATAAAGTTTGAGCTCCTTCCCACTTTCAAATCAGCAAATTATTTTTGAACAAAATCCCATAAAAATGTCCTTATCCAATTGAGGACGTAATGAGTGAATGATTCCATAAGCTCAAAATCTAAACATTTCAGAGAACAATAGAAGTATCAAGCAACAATAGCAAAAGTAATGAAAAGTATACTTCACTCCTTACGATTTTGTTGTTGAAAATAGATACGGGATGGGGAAGGAATAGAGACATAGAAAAGTTGTGATAACAAGTTCTTCATTTCACAAACACAATTAGTGATAATTATTTACCATTATATTAAGAAAATGATAGCAATATTCCATCCTTTCATCCGCTTCCTTCACTCAGTTGAGAAGGTGCAAAAAATTTTTATTTTCCCTTATCTGTCTTTCGACAACATCAATCAACAATTAAGACTCAATTAAAGTTTCCTATTTCTAATACTTGATACTGTTAATCTTTTGCTCGTGCTCAACCGTATTGCTAGTGACAAAATGGATGTTTGTAGGAAATTGTCGATTTCAAATCTGCAGGGTAATCAAGAATGAAATATTGCGATTGTAGAAGCCAATATCCAATTTAAACTTTCAAATTGAACATCCAGCATTGGGCTATAAATTAAGTCAGTAATGCGTTTTAGTCATCTCATCGCGAATAATAATTATTTACTGTTATTCCATCCATTCACAATCAATATTTTCCCATCACTCACTAATTTTATACCTTTTTCTGTTCATTCTTCTTCCCTTTTCAATTAATTAATTAATTTAGGTGCCGCCCATAAATCAAACAAAATTGGAAGGTGAAAAGGTACAATTTACGTGTGAAGCAAAGGCGATGCCAGGCAATGTTACTGTGCGCTGGTTTCGTGAGGGCGCACCAGTACGTGAAGTTGCTGCACTCGAGACACGCGTCACGATACGAAAAGATGGTACACTCATTATTAATCCTGTTAGTGCAGATGATAGCGGTTGGTATACATGCGAAGTGTCTAATGGAATTGGCGATGCACAAAGTGCTGCTGCCTTCTTGAATGTAGAATGTAAGTTATTACGACTTCTTGTTTCATTTTATTATACTTTTTTTTCTGTGCTGTTCACTCGGTATGTGCTTTTGTGTAAAATGGTGATACAGCTGAATGTGCAAGAAAATAAAATTATAGCCATGCCGCAGTACTAAATGGATCATGAGGGGATTAATACAGAACAGAGAAAATACTAATGGTACAGTGAGAAGAAAAGGAGATTACAGCTTTTAACGAGGCAACTTAATTACAACAATTTTTATATATTTTCTCGCTCTGCTCAATTGCTAGGGATTCTGGCTGTTCGTTTAAGTCAATGATGATTTGGATCTTGACTTTTTTACTATAAAGAGAATGAGCATCATCAAGATCGCTAAGTAGATCCCAATCAGAACACAATGAAATCTAGAAACTAAGAACTAATCAGATGCTAAGTAGCTGGCTACTGGAAATGACTGTCAAGCAGGTTTTATATAATTCTTAATATGCATTCTGCTTGACTACGATGGAGACAGCATCCCAATGTGTATCGATCGGGTTTCTTCTTATTTTAAGCCACTTTACATGCTCTGTTCATCATTCAATCTTCTTTCAACATGATCATATTATTTGTTCATCTTTTATTCCTCATTCATTCATAGGACAAATAGCGACTAGCTTTAAAACTCATCTCATCTTTATTTCTGCATTCATCTTTGATTAATTCGTATATTCTTTCCTCTCTTTCCTCCTCTATTTCTCAACATCAACATTAACATGGAATTAATGGACAATGGCAATGACAATAACATTCTCAATTAATTCAGATCCCGCCAAAGTGACCTTTACACCCACAATACAATATTTACCATTCCGTTTAGCTGGTGTTGTACAATGCTATATAAAAGCAAATCCACCACTTCAATACGTGACGTGGACGAAAGATAAACGCTTATTGGAACCATATCAGACTAAAGATATTGTCATTATGAACAATGGTTCATTGCTCTTTACACGTGTTAATCAAAATCATCAGGTGAGTAAATCGATTAATTTAAATGACGTGTCAAATTTTCCGAATGGAAATGGTGTGTCTGTAGTATTTTTCGGTACTCAAGTAAATTGAAGCTTGTTTAATTACGATGGAATTAATTTTCTTTCCCTAAATAATAGATGTCATAAATGAATAATTCCAAACCTTTAGTAGTAATTTGTCCTTTTTCAACTAAATTTCATCTGAATCTCGAGTTGTTGATTGAGTTTATTCATCTATAAATAACTGCTTTTTTGACTTTGATCTTCAAAAAGATTAACTTTGAAAACAACTTTTCATGAAGGCTTTGTAGACATCAATAAGCATTTCTTAGAAACGGAGTGCTTCAATTTGTAAAAGTGACATTAATTTCAAATTCCATTTTATTTCAAACAATTAGGGTCGTTATACATGCACGCCATACAATGCTCAAGGCACACAAGGCTCATCAGGTCAAATGGAAGTGTTAGTACGTAAGCCACCATCGTTCATCATTGAGCCAGATCCACTTTATCAACGTAAAGTGGGCGAGTCTGTTGAGATGAATTGTGATGCATTAGAAGCGGAAGGAACGACTAAACCAACAATTACATGGCAGAGACGTGATGGCCAGTCATTCCAACGAAATCGTGTGAAAGTGTTAAATGGAAATTTAACAATGGAAAATTTGAGACGTTCCGATTTTGGCTATTACGAATGTGTTGCATCGAATGAGGTTGCAACAATAATATCATCGACACAGCTTATTATTGAAGGTACACAGCCGCATGCACCATATAATTTAACAGCCACTGCAACAGAATTTTCTGTAACATTATCATGGATGCCTGGATATTCAGGTGGTCCTGATTACAAGCAAGACTATGTTATTTGGTATCGAGAGGCTGGCATTTCTGAATGGTCAAAAATTCCAGTCACACCGTCCGGTAGCACACAAGTGTCGATTAATCGATTGTCACCGGGAACAACGTATGAGTTCCAGGTTGTAGGAAACAATCAACTTGGTGAAGGAATGATGAGTAAAGTGATGACTATTCGGACGCTAGGTAAGCAATTTAAAATGTTTCTTTGTTCTGCTACAAGCAGATACTTTATCTCCGTTCGCCTTTTTTTACCTTCAATATTTATTTGAACTCTCTTCATCCTTGTGTTGTGTTGAAAATTACATTTTATTGAAAAAGTTTTGCTTTTCATTTTTTTTTTCATCTCCTCAGTTCCTTTTCTTATTATACTTTTTTCTGTTGTTATTCTCCTCCGCTCAGTTGAAGACGTGAAGAAGAAAAAGAAGAAAATAACCTCAATCATGAATTGAGAAATTCCTTTTTTCTCTCTCTCTCTCGTCTGTATTTCCATCAGTGTTGTCTATTGAAGCGCATCACCTCGAGAATGATGGAATGTTTGCTAGAATAGTTTGTCTGTTTGACTAATTACATGTTTACTTACATGGTTAGTGATGCAATTGAGGTTATTTGAAATCAATTAATCGTGATTTGATGTCAGACTATAAAAGAATTTAGCTTAAGTGTCTTGAAAATTTCCAAAACTTAACCTAAGTCAGTGCTAGCAAATTTGAACCACAGAGTCAGAAATAAAGACAGGATCAGGTTTATCTCACGACTGGATGATTTATTTAATTATCTGGAGTCCCTCCTTCCATCTTATTACTTTTCCATTCCATTCATTCTGAAAAATCCAGATCTATTTTTCGAAAATCTTCCAACTGCACCCCTTCCAACTGCACCTTCAGAAAATACCAATCAATTATTAATCAAGCAAAATCACAGCAAATTTCCATAACCTCGAGAAATGCGCTTCATTTACCCAAAACAAATTAACTCTCCCCCTTAATTTTGTGTATCTCCTACAATCATCTTCTTTTTCTTCCTCTTATTGATTATTTCTTTTCATGTCTCTTTTATCATTCAATCTTCGATCAAAAATTCTTTTTTTTTTCTTCTTTCTCTTTTTCTTTTCTACGATAAAAAAACTTTTTTCCTTTTACTCGATCAATATGCGACATAAAAAATGATGATGACATAAATTAGATTCGGGACGACCAAGTAATATAAAGTCCACTGCCGCAGCTCCAGTTACAACGACAATTCCGACAACAACTACTCATAATCCAGCGATATTTCCCGAAAGTCCTGATGAATTAGGTAAGGAAGCGAAAATGATGATTTTTAATACAGTCACACAATATACATACTAACACATACAGTCATAAACACATATGAAACATAATAAAATTTTAATTTGACACGAAAAATCCATATTAAGACTATAAAAAGTTAATAATCGATGTTGATTAGTTTCTGTGAAAATGTCAAAATAATATAAAATGACCCCCCTTGTGGAAAATTTTGTCAGAATATCAAACAAACATAGCAACAGAAATTGAAAAGTTGTCGACACACGCTGAAATTTGTTACTAGCACAAAATTTAAGTCATTTTTCTGCGAAGCGCCTAGGTTTGACTTTTCTGATATGGCTTTGATGTAGCTCTTATGTGGCACTCATGTTGCTCTCATGTGGCTTACATGTAGCTTACATGTAGCTTACAAGCAGCTTCAAAATGGCTCTCATGTCACACTCATGTGGCTCTCATATAGCTTACACATAACTTTAATGAGGTTTCCAAGAATTCATCAAAAGACACATAAAATCCACAAAAATCATGCATGAGTTCCACATCGAAGCCTTGTCGATGACTAGACCTTGATTTACTGGGGTCTTGAGTACTAACCTGGATCGCGCAATGAAGTAATAGAAATCTAGTCACAAAAATTTATGTGCAATTTATTATGTAAAAATGCATCCGATAAAAATGGTCACAAAATTTATGAACAGTCAATCAGCCAAGCATTTTATTGGTCTTGAATCCTATAAATTCACCATAAAGATTCTATCAAAATGCTTTCAAGAGAAAGTCAATGCTAACAAGAAGAAATATAGAGTGATGAAAATAATTTCATACATGTATTCTTATTCCCAGCTGTAAGTATCAAGAGAGGAAAAATGAGAAGCATACAGACGGAAAACGAAGACATTTTTACGTCTGACAAGTAAACAAAAAAAAAAAGAATTTGTGAATGATAACGATGATTATGATGTTAAATGTGATGTGGATGTTGAATGAAAGGGAAATTTCATCTTGACATGTTCAAAAAAAAAAGTCTGTGTAACACACACACACACACACAAAATACATGAAATGACTGTAATTATGGCTGCTGGTACACATTAGATGTGAGCTTAAATAATGAAAAATACTAATCATAAAAATTATGATAATTTGAAAATGATGTCGTCATTTTTGATGGGATTATTAAAGCATGACAGCAATTGAAAAATTAAATTTTGATGTTCTTTTGTATCTAATTAGTTCCTCTGTTACGAAAATAAAAAAAAAACTTTCTCACTTGCTTGTTGCCAGCATATTAGTACGTTTACCTCATGGCATGTAGCATGCTTAACATTCTAACTTCGAATATTTGATTTTACGTGACTTTGAATAATTTTTGATATTCATACTTTTTTCAAGGGGGTAACAACATGATGGGGATTCTCTAACGTACAACTTTTCAATATTTCCACCTGTTATCCATGAAAAATTTTAATAAAATAATTTAAAAAAATTTTTCATCATGTTGTTTTCCCCTTGACTTTTCATTCCTTTTTTGACATTGAATTTGCGGAATTTTCTAGCTTGGCATATTGATTTTTATGTCTTTTGAATATGAAAATTTTCTTGTAGAAACATAAGCCTTTGTGCAAATATGTTCATAGCAATTCTAGCAAAGATAGCGTCAAGACATTCAATGGAAATCGATAGAAAGTCAATAGAAATCAAGTCTCAATCACATTAAAATGGAAAATTTTGTGACACACACGCAAGATCACATCACAAAAAAAAAGTTTCTCTTGATTATTCTACACAATCTGTCAACATGCCTAAATAAGCCTAGTTTCTAAAGCTCATAAGCATAAATATATAAAAAGTTCAGAACGTCTGACAAAAAAAAAGAATGGAAATGGAAGAGCAATTTTTCTACCCATTTCAAAAAATTTACTTCCATCAAAATAAGAATCAACATCCATGAAGCTCACAATTGAGCAAAAAGAAGACTGGGAAAAATTTTCATGTCAATTCTCCCATGAGATTAATGAATAAAAATGAACACAAAAAAAAATTGAAAAAAAGAAGAAGATACAGCAACATGACATTATATGCCAGACTTTCATCAACATCATTTTCACAGTTCTATTTCTTATTCTGATGCTGATGCCATTGCTGCTGCTGCTCATTTTATTTTATTCTTCTTTTTATTTTCTTATACTTAATGGTGTTTTAATGACAACAATTTGAAGGGAGACAAAGGAACCAAAGTGTCATTCCAAACATTCTGTATTAGTGTTTATGAATTTTTAAAAGCCATAAACGTTCTTTTTCGAGGGATAATGAGGAGGGGAGATAGAGAAATTGAGTGGAAAAATGAAAAACTTTTTGAGAATTTTCAATGAGATAATGCATTTTGAAAATGAGAAGGATTAAGAAGTGCTTTTAAGGATACTTATGAAAATGACAAGTAGATTTTGTTAGTCAAACTATCTACTCGACTTGAATAGATGATTTTTTTTTTGCGAATTTATTGTGGAATGTACGACAAGCTGACAATAAATCAGTGCTTCTCAAACTTCACGTTGCGATACCATCCTGTGCAGACAAACTTTCAGATATGTTGTGAAATGTATGATGGGAGAGGGATATCCAGAGGGATCCTAAGTACTCGACCCCCCTCATAGCCTATAAATTTTAAGAACCACAAAACGCTAATGATATTTTCTAAAAGGGTTACAGGTGCAATAAGCAAAAAGTCATTGGCTTTTTAGGAAGGTACGAATTTTGTTAGACACTGAAGCATTTTAGGGGATATTTATAGGAAAATGTTCAGCAAGAAAACAAAATTTATCGATTCTCAAACAATTAATTCTTTAGTATTTTGTAAAATTCCATCCATAAGCTTCTTACCTTCTGTATCCCATCATTCATCGTTTCAAGACCAGAAAAAAATAGCTATACAAATATAGCATAAATAAAACATTTATAATAAATTTCCCACAAATATTTTCGAACGAACGTTAAAATAAATCAAAATTGTTGGTTATGGCATGGCCCACGTGCAAATAAAGTGAACCATTATTATTTTTTCTCTACGCATTTGTGTCTATGATTGTATGTGTATCTAAGCTTTTCGTGAATTTCTAACGAATTTTATATTTTCATTTTTATTTTTATCATCATCACTTCCTTCCATGTGCACGTAAATTTTTTTTATTCATCATTTTTTTGTTGCATTTTTTTCATCTGAATATTTTCCAGTTGAACTGATCCTTTTCCTATCTATTCACATTCTATATGCTTTTTAATTTGAATTTTGTTTTCAATGGATATTTTCATTGTTAGATTAAACTGTTTGTAAACTAGGTTGTTAGAGATTCATCATTTTTTTGAGTTTTTATTCCATCCACAAAAGGTCAAATTGTCTTCATTGCAAGATTGTATCTAAAAGGGAATTAAATCCACAATATGGAAAGTATTTCAATGAACACCGATTAGATTGTTGACTGTAAATACAAGAATCTGATTTACAGTCACCAAAGAATCACCAACAACTTCCTTTCCTATGTTCCTGTTTTCGTTTCTATTTTCACATTCCATTAATTTCAATATCATTTAATTGCTAAGAAAATTTGCTTATTAAATCACTCTACGTCGTGACATTGAGAGTGTGAGTGAAAGGAATAGACGGCAACCGGAGAAGTCAGTTGAAAAATTGCTTTTTATTTGCTATGCGGCTATATAATGCGGTCGGGACAGCCTTTTTTATTTCTTACATTTCTGCCAACATTGAAAATATTTTATTCCTTTTCATTTGCTTCATTTGCGGGTTAATAATTCACTTTTTATTTTACTACAGCTTCTACTTGTTTATTTACTACTTCTGTTTCCCTCCTTCTACTTTTTGTGACTTTTTCCTTTTCTAACTTACGCTCTTTCCTGCCACTGCTGCTTTCTTTTTAACTCAGCCCCTTTTTTAAGAGCATTTTCTTGTGTTAAGTCTACTTTTTACTCTAATTGAAACTGATAGATCAAAGCAGTAGGATGAAGTTTATAGCTACAACTATAAAACAGTGAAAATATAAATTTCATTAAACCGAGGAGAAATTTTGGGTTTTTTTTCCTCATTTCTACTACATTTTTGATTCCTTATTGATTTAATTAACATCATGCTATTGACCTACTTCCATTTATTTAGTTTCCTTTGTAAAGAAATAATTCCATGCTGTTTCGAACTTGGAATAAATTTATTTTTGCTATGTTTTGATCATAAATGACGTCTTTTCCACCCTGTTATCCTCCTGAAAGACGTAGCTGTTGCTTGACTTCATATTCCCTTCACGTGATGTCTATCATGAACAACCCCATTACAAAAATTTTTTTTCCACAAAAATATTAAAGCTATAATTTGTAAAGTCATCCTATTTGCTATGATTCCGTTCTGTATAGTTTTGATTTATTTTTTTTTCTTCTGAATAATTTTTCTAATAAGGATGAATCAAAGCTGCTCCATTTTTCATGCCGACCCAAATTTTTGACCTTTGTTATAGTTTTTGATCGACTCGGGTCGAAGTAATTAGAAAAGTTTTGGAAATTATGATTTTTTTCCTTTTTCTTCATGACTAAATAAATTTCTCTGCATCTATAGACTAAGAAAATTATGTGGAACTTGTGGTTGTTGCCTGCTAAAGATATTGATAAGAGCGATGTCTGTATATCAAAGTTTTTTTTGGTTGCTACACGATGCGACTTTCGTGCATATAAGTCGTATCCCTACAATATGACCTTAGAGCTCAATTGGTTCCACGCTAATCAATTTCTTTACTTAATATGGAAAACACTGAGTTTAATGCTTGATCAAAGCTGAATTAAAACTTACCCTCATTTTTAAGGCAAAATTCATCAAGAATCTAAAGGTTGCAGAACTAATTTTGTCAGGAAATTGTCACCAATCCCTCATCATTAATGGTCACAATCAATAAAAAAAAAAGTCCAACTCAGTAAAAAAAATCTCAATATTTTCACATCCAATCAATT